GTGATGAGATATCCGGTGCCACACATGCAATGGACTTACCGTTTGTTTTTGGTATGGGTTTCACACCAGAAATGTCTCACCTGTTCAGTGATACCGACGCCCAGTTCAGTAGAGATGTGATGAGAATTTGGACTAATTTCGCAAAATATGGGTTCATTGAAATGTTTATAAATAATTTATTGTTTGTGTAAATATGAAATCAACTAATGTTTGTCATATGTATAGCAAACCGGACGATAAATGGCCGCAACTATTGAGTGCTAATAATGTGCCAAAAGTGAAGAATTTAAATCCCGCCCCAACTCTACCACCAATGGATGACCCGTACGATCGCGTATATAATGAGTTTTGGAGTCAATATTTTTGATAATATAAAAAATCCATAATATGTGTAATTATTACCACATTATAGAAGTAATAATTTTATTTTAATATTAAAACATTCTTCAAATTAAACTCATTATTTAGGTTTTATTTAAAAATTAATTCATTGATTATAAATTATACGTTATAAATTAAAAAAATTGAATTAAATTAATTATATAACTACTAAAAAATATATTGTATAGTATTAAAATTACCGGTATAACGCAATTGTAATTTGTTATTTTGACATTTTATATTAATACCGTAATAATAAAATACTATATTAATTTATAGGGAGCAAAAATATTTGTTTTGATAATCACTGCAATTGAAGGTTATTCTGGATAAGTGTTTAAATATGTTTTATCAGGAAAAGATCATTTATTGTGAATTAAGTACATATTTTAGTGTATTCAGTGCAATGTTAGTGCGTTAGTTATAATCACACTTTGCAGTAACATTATATAAATAACATATAATTTTAAAAAGTTAGTTTATTCATTTATCGTCATTTTATTAATAGTGTTCAGAAATAAATTTGTAAAATTAATATGTCATCCAATGTTGACAATGGGACTGATGTGAAAACTACATCGGGTGTAGTGAGGGGTCAGACAATACAAGTGCTCAATACAAATGTGTATCAATTTTTGGGTATACCTTACGCCGAACCCCCAGTGGGTACTCTTAGGTTCGCAAAACCACAACCAATTAAAAAGCCATCAGAAGTAAGTATAAATACAATAATAGTCAAATAAAATAAATACTAATATTTCTGTGTATTTATTACAATAAGAGTATAATAGATGCAACGAAACCAGGAAACGCATGCATACAAAATAAGTCATCATGGTCTGAGATGCCAATTCCCAACCAAAGTGAGGACTGTTTGGTACTAAATATATGGACACCTAATGTGGGAAACAATAGCTCATCGAAACAAACATCTCTAAAACCAGTCATGTTTTGGATACATGGAGGGGGTCTTAGTATTGGTTCGTGTGATATGTATAACGGCGGTCCACTCGCTACCCATGACGTGGTGTTTGTGGCCATAAACTATAGATTAGCTCACTTTGGCTTCTTATACGGCGATCGGGAGGACGCGCCCGGAAATCAGGGATTTTATGACCAGTTATTAGCACTCAAATGGGTATAAAAATTATTACAATTAAGTTATAATGATAACAATTGTACAGTATATATAAATTTATATAATAAATCTTATACTAATAGGTGAGGGAAAATATTTACGCATTTGGTGGGGATAGGGATCAGATCACTATATTTGGTGAGAGCGCCGGTAGTTGGTCTGTATCGGCACTCATACTCTCTCCCCTATCAAAGGGTTTATTCAAGAGGGCTATTATGCAAAGTGGAGCCCATTTGTACAACAAGGACAGGGATGCTGTCAGTAAATCCGAAGCCATAGAAATAGGCAAAAGTATAGCAAAAGACTTGGGTTGTAATGAATCTGAAGATTGGGTTCAGTTTTTAAGAAATGTCGACCCAAAGGAACTGGCTGAAAAGGCTAAACCATTAACATTCCCAGTGTTGGGCACTGAGTTCCTACCACTTTCCGCTCAGCAGGCTTTCCAAACAAATCAATTCAACTCAGGTATGATAATGTTGTCATAAATTTTAAACATTGAAATGCAATATAGATTTTGATTATTATTTTGTGACATGAATACAGACATTGACTTAATTGCGGGCATAAACTCAAACGAGGGGTCATTGCTATCAGCCCTACTCCTACCCCCGAAAGATGAGGCACTGACTATCGATCACTTCAAACGTGGCGTTCAAGTGGCGGACAAAATGTTTCATGAATTGGACGTTCAAAAAGTGGTCGACTATTACCTGAAAGGCATCGACACAAGCAATTCATCGGCAGTCAGACGAGCCTTTTATGAGTTTTNCCGAACCCCCAGTGGGTGCTCTAAGATTTGCAAAACCACAACCCATTAAAAAGCCATCAGAAGTATGTATCAAAATAATTGTTAAATAAAATAAATGCTAATATTTCTGCGTATTTATTACAATAAGAGTATAATAGACGCTACAAAACCGGGAAACGCATGCATACAAAATAAGTCATCATGGTCTGAGATGGTAATTCCCAACCAGAGTGAGGACTGTTTGGTACTAAACATATGGACAACTAATGTGGGAAACAATAGCTCATCGAAACAAACATCTCTAAAACCCGTCATGTTTTGGATACATGGAGGGGGTCTTAGTATTGGTTCGTGTGATATGTATAACGGCGGTCCACTCGCTACCCATGACGTGGTGTTTGTGGCCATAAACTATAGATTAGCTCACTTTGGCTTCTTATACGGGGATCGGGAGGACGCGCCCGGAAATCAGGGATTTTATGACCAGTTATTAGCACTCAAATGGGTATAAAAATTATTACAATTAAGTTATAATGATAACAATTGTACAGTATATATAAATTTATATAATAAATTTTATACTAATAGGTGAGGGAAAATATTTACGCATTTGGTGGGGATAGGGATCAGATCACTATATTTGGTGAGAGCGCCGGTAGTTGGTCTGTATCGGCACTCATACTCTCTCCCCTATCAAAGGGGTTATTCAAGAGGGCTATTATGCAAAGCGGAGCCCATTTGTATAACAAGGACAGGGATGCTGTCAGTAAATCCGAAGCCATAGAAATAGGCAAAAGTATAGCAAAAGACTTGGGTTGTAGTGAATCTGAAGATTGGGTTCAGTTTTTGAGAAATGTTGACCCAAAGGAACTGGCTGAAAAGGCTGAACTCATAACATTCCCAGTGTTGGGCACTGAGTTCCTACCCCTTTCCGCTCAGCAGGCTTTCCAAACAAATCAATTCAACTCAGGTATGATAATGTTGTCATAAATTTTAGACATTGAAATGAAATATAGATTTTGATAATTATTTTGTGACATGAATACAGACATTGACTTAATTGCGGGCATAAACTCAAACGAGGGGTCAATGCTATCAGCCCTACTCATACCCCCGAAAGATGAGACAGTGACTATCGATCACTTCAAACATGGCGTTCAAGTGGCGGACAAAATGTATCATGAATTGGACTTTCAAAAAGTGGTCGACTATTACCTGAAAGGCATCGACACAAGCAATTCATCGGCACTCAGACGAGCCTTTTATGAGTTTGTCGGTGATCTCTTCATGAAATACCCGACATATCTGTTCGCCAAACAATTTGCTATAAATACCCAAAAGAGTGGTAAAAATGTCTACTTTTATGAGTTGACACATCACTGCAAGACATTCGCTCAGATGCTTAGATGTGATGATGAGATGTCGAGTACCGCACACGCCATGGACTTACCCTTTGTGTTTGGATGGGGTTTCACACCAGAAATGGCTCAGATATTTAGTGATACCGACGCCCAGTTCAGTAGAGATGTCATGAAAATGTGGACCAATTTCGCAAAATATGGGTAAAAATGAAAGTGCATTGAACCAAATAATTTAGAAATAAGCTTATAATATTTATATAATATAAAGCATATTATGCTTTAAACTTATTAAATTGTTATAATGTTTAGTAATATTTTTAGTTTTATTTATTATATAAATTATTACAAATTCTGTGGTTTTCGCATATATTTAGTAAACCGGACGATAAATGGCCGCAACTATTGAGTCCTAATAATGACCCAAAAGTGAAGAATTTAAATCCCGACTCAACTCTACCACCAATGGATAACCCGTACGATCGCGTATATAATGACATTTGGAGTCAATATTTTTAAAAATAAATTAAAAATATATGGATCAGAATAAATAATTTTTTTGATTTAATTAAACTGAAAACTTCTATTTAATTTTTTTAAAAAATATTTTATATTGCAATTCATGTAAGCAACAAGCAGTTGGTTTCATAAACACCTATAATCTGAGCCGTACCTTAAACAACGTATCATATCACAATAATTTAAGTCCCACACCGATCCAATCCTTGTAAGTAGGCCTCCCCTATGAAAGTGAATTCATGATAATCTTAAATAAAGAGTTAAGGTGGTTTTTATGAAACGTGATCAGATAAGTGGGCTAGGATGCAATTCAAGGTCCAGCTCAAATGAAAGTTTAATTTGTTTAGGCGGCGTGCACAAAGTACGTATTTTTTGGTCAAAAATTGACCCCCCCTCCCCCCTACACGCCCATCGTACATAGGAATTTAACATGGTGACATACGCTTTGGCATGACCCCCCCTCCCCCCTACCAGTGCGTATGTACTTTGTGCACGCCGCCTTATGAATACCACTATTAGATTTAATAATTGCCAGACTTATAAATAGAGATAATTACTTGAATTGAAGGTTAAGCATAGACTGCTTTTTATAATTTTATTTATTTCTGATAGTGCAATTCATCGTGTAGATTTAAGTCTCAGGTAGGTCTCACATTTGAAGCAATTGATCACTTGATTTCATAGACACCTTTAATCTGAGCCGTACCACAACGTCTCACAAATTTAAGTCCTACACCGATCAAACTTATTCATGTAAGTAGGCCTCCCCTATGAAAGTGTATGGACCCACATCGGAGTGAATTTTTATGATAATCTTAATATACAAAATACAAAAGTGACTGTTTAGTGCATAATGTATGAAATAAATCAAATTAATTAATAAATAAAAACTAATATTATATTACAAATTTGTTGTTATTCATTTAATTGGATTTAAAAATATAGTTCATATCAATATGTCATACAATGTTAACGATGAGACTGATGTGAAGACTACATCGGGTGTAGTGAGGGGTCAGACAATACAAGTGCTCAATACAAATGTGTACCAGTTTTTGGGTATACCTTACGCCGAACCACCGGTGGGTGAACTTAGGTTTGCCAAACCAGAGCCCATTAAAAAACCATTTGAGGTAATTATTAATATAAAAATAGTCTAATAACTCCAATTGTTGTATAATTATTATATAAAGGGCATAATAGATGCCACTAAACCAGGTAACGCATGTTTGCAAAAAGAGTCATCATGGTCAGAGTTGCAAGTTCCCCACCAAAGTGAGGACTGTTTGGTATTAAACATATGGACACCTAATGTGAGGAACAGTAACTCATCGAAACCAATACCACTGAAACCCGTCATGTTTTTCATCCACGGCGGGGGTCTTTGGATGGGTTCGTGTGATATTTATAACGGCGGTCCACTCGCTACCCATGACGTGGTGTTTGTGGCCATAAACTATAGATTAGCTCACTTTGGCTTCTTATACGGGGATCGGGAGGACGCGCCCGGAAATCAGGGATTTTATGACCAGTTATTGGCCCTTAAATGGGTATAAAATTAATATTATTTTCTTAAAATATTATATAATAGAGTTATTTAAATTTATTAATGTTATAAATACTTATAGGTGAGAGATAATATTCATGCGTTTGGTGGGGATAGGGATCAGATCACTATATTTGGTGAGAGCGCCGGCGGTTGGTCCGTATCGGCACACATATTGTCTCCCCTATCAAAGGGTCTGTTTAAGAGGGCTATTATGCAAAGTGGGGCCCATATGTATAATAAGGACAGGGATGTTATCACCAAATCTGAAGCCTTAGAAATAGGCAAACGTTTGGCGAATGAATTAAATTGTAGTGAATCTGAAGATTGGGTACAGTTTTTGAGAAATGTTGGCCCAAAGGAACTGGTGGTTAAGACTAATAAAAATACATTCCCAGTGTTGGGCACTGAGTTTCTACCTTTTTCTGCACAAAAGGCTTTTGAAACCAATCATTTTAATTCAGGTTTGCAATTATTTTAAACATTTTTCATAAATTAAAGGTTTTATAAGATATGTGTTGACATCCATATAATATATTATATTATATTATAATAGACATCGACTTAATTGCGGGCATAACTTCAAACGAGGGGTCAGTCCTATCACATAGTTTTCTACCTCCTAATGAGGTGACATTAACTGTTGATCACTTCAAACATGGGGTCCAAGTGGCGGACAAAATGTTTCATGAATTGGACGTTCAAAAAGTGGTCGACTATTACCTGAAAGGCATCGACACAAGCAATTCATCGGCACTCAGACGAGCCTTTTATGAGTTTGTCGGAGACCTACTCATTAAATATCCGACATATCTGTTCGCCAAACAGTTTGCTATAAACACTCAAAAGAGTGGTAAAAATGTCTACTTTTATGAGTTGACACATCAGTGTAAGGCATTCGCAGAGATCTTTAAATGTGATGATGAGATATCCCGTACCGCACACATTATGGACTTACCCTTTGTGTTTGGTATGGGTTTCACACCGGCCAGGGCACACCTTTTTACTGATACCGACGCCCAGTTCAGTAGAGATGTGATTTCAAAAGCCTTTTGTGCGGAAAGGGGCAGAAACTCAGTGCCAAATACTGGTCGTGTCGATGGCTTAGTCTTAGCCACCAGTTCCTTTGGGTCGACATTTCGCAAAAATTGTAACCAATCTTCAGAATCACTACAACCCAAGTCTTTCGCCAATTCCTTACCTTCTTTTAAAGCTTCAGATTTGGTGATCATATCCCTGTCTTTGTTGAAAAGTTGGGCTCCGCTTTGCATAATAGCCCTCTTAAACAGCCCTTTCGATAGGGGAGACAATATGTGTGCCGATACGGACCAACTGCCGGCGCTCTCACCAAATATAGTGATCTCATCCCTATCCCCACCAAATGCATGGATGTTTTCTCTAACCTATGATTAATTATGATAATTAATTTTAAATCAATACTTTCATTATAGCATTGAATGAAATATAACAATAATTTTATACCCATTTAAGAGCCAATAACTGGTCATAAAAACCTTGATTTCCAGGCGCGTCCTCCCGATCCCCGTATAAGAAGCCAAAGTGAGCTAATCTATAGTTTATGGACACAAACACCACATCATATGTGGCCAGTGGTCCGCCACCATACATATCACTCGACCCCCAACTCAGACCTCCGCCATGAATCCAAAACATGACTGGTTTTAGTGCCGGTGTTTCGGATAACTGATCTTTGTTTCGCACATTAGGTGTCCATATGTTTAGTACCAAACAGTCCTCACTTAGATTACTCGGTGAACTCATTCCCGTAAACCCTGATTCTTTTTGCATACACCCATTGCCAAATTTAGTTGCATCTATTATACCCTTTTAATAACACAAATATTTATAAATTAATTCATTAATTATGTATATTTTAAACTTACTTCTAAAGGCTTTTCAATGGGTTGTGGTTTAGCAAACCTAAGCGCACCCACCGGTGGTTCGGCATAAGGTATACCCAAAAACTGGTACACATTTGTATTGAGCACTTGTATTGTCTGACCCCTCACTACACCCGATGTAGTCTTCACATCAGTCTCATTGTGAACATTGGATGACATATTAATTTTCTGTTGATCTACTTGTGAATACCATTAATAAAATGACGATAAATGAATAAACTAACTTTTCTAAAATATGTGCTATTTATGTAATGTTTAATACTAAGTTGACACTGCAAAGTATGTTTACGCCTAATGCACTATCACTGAACTGAATACGCTAAAATATGTACTTAATTCACAAAAAGTGATCTTTTCCTGATAAAACATATTTAAACACTTATCCAGAATAACCTTCAATTGCAGTGATTATCAAAACAAATATTTTTGCTCCCTATACATTTATATAGTATTTTATTATTACCGTATTCATATAAAATGTTATAATGACACATTACAATTGCGTAATTTTAATGCAATATATTTTTTAATAGTTATATAATTAATTTAATTCAATTTCTTAATATATAACGTATAATTTATAATCAATGAATTAATTTTTAAATAAACCCTAAATAATGAGTTTAATTTGAAGATTGTTTTAATATTCAAATAAAATTATTACTTTTATAATGTGGTAATAATTACACATATTATGGATTTTTTATATTATCAAAAATATTGACTCCAAAACTCATTATATACGCGATCGTACGGGTCATCCATTGGTGGTAGAGTTGAGTCGGGATTTAAATCTTTCACTTTTGGCACATTTTTATCACTCAAAAGTTGCGGCCATTTATCGTCCGGTTTACTATATATGAGAAGAAAATAATTTTTAAATACTTAATTCAATTATAAACATTTCAATGAACCCATATTTTGCAAAATTAGTCCACATTCTCATCACATCTCTACTGAACTGGGCGTCGGTATCAGTAAAAAGGTGTGCCCTGGCCGGTGTGAAACCCATACCAAACACAAAGGGTAA